CTCTCTCTCTCTCTCTCTCTCTCTCTCTCTCTCTCTCTCTCTCTCTCTCTCTCTCTCTCTCTCTCTCTCTCTCTCTCTCTCTCTCTCTCTGTGTGTGCTTGGGTCCGCATAGTTTTCTGATCATCTACCAATAACCGGCGTTTTTGAAATCTCTCTCTCTCTCTCTCTCTCTCTCTCTCTCTCTCTCTCTCTCTCTCTCTCTCTCTCACTCATGACATGGTCACCTTCGCTATTTTCCTGCTCAGCTCAAAATAATTAGAAAACCACTTTCCATGTTCTGAACCCCTTGCTTTCTTTTTTCTTTTTTGGAACCCCTTGTTTGATGGGCAAGCAGAGCACAACATACAGACAGAAGAGGAAGAGAGACAGAGAGAGCTGGAGACTACAAACCAAGCGCCAAACCACAGTTGAAGGCGGACGGAAAAGCTCTCTCTCTCTCTCTCTCTCTCTCTCTCTCTCTCTCTCACACACACACACACACACACACACACACACATTCTGGAATAAGAGAGAGAAGGTATGCCTTGCTGAGATTCCCGCATTCTGCTGTGATTTCTAGTGTGTGTGTTTGTGAATGCCTGCTGGTCTGCGTGCCTGTCTGAGTGCTTGTCGGCCAGAGTGTGTGTGTGACCCGCAAGGGTACTTGCTGGTTGAAAGACCCCGCAGGGCCGGTTCTTACCTGTGGCCGTGACTTTGTGGGTTGCAGCGGGGAAAACACTCAGTAGTGCGGGTACGGGTAAAACACTCAAGAGCAGCGGGGAAAACACTCAAGTAGCAGGTAGGCCAGCACACTCAAAAGTGTCCGGTACTGGAGACAGAGGGGAAGAAGAAAACATTTTTAGAGGCCCAGTAGCGGTAGGTTAGAGGTAGGCCGGTACCAGTCCAAGTAGTCTGAGTCTAGGGCCTGTACGGATGATATCAGAGCCTGCAATGATGGTTCCCTCTGAAAGGGAGGAGGTACTGGTTGCTGGGAGGCCGCTCGGACTAGGAAGTCACCGCCCAAGACGCCAGTAGGCCGCTATATCTTCAGGAGGAGCAAGCGGCTCCTCCTTTGCGGTGTGCAAGGATTGGCGACATACTGCTGGAGCCAAGCACTGGACTTGGAAGCGCTGCTGGGAGGAGGAGAGCAGCTGCGCGCTCAGCCTGGCTGTGGCGAGCAGCCCAGCCTGAGGAGGAGGAAGAAGCGGGCGAAGGAGCTGCATCTGGAAGGCCCCAGTTGGGGTAGTGCCACACAACGAAGCTCGAGGCAGAGTCAGGCATGGCAGCTTAGTGAGCAGCGGCATAGCTGCTTTGTGTTGTGCTTTGGACAGGAGTGCAGCAACATAGCTGTTTTGCTTTGTCCTTCGCACAGGAGGGCAGAGCCCTTAGTAGTCCGCCATTGCCTAGGCATGTGAGAGGAGGAATAAGGGGGGGAAGCCATAGCTATGGTGGACCTGTTGTTGTGTCAGCAGTAAGAGGGAATTTCGGATATTGATTCTGGTTCATCCACTCATTGTTGTTATTATTATTATTGGAAGAAGAATAAGATTGGCGAAGTCAAGGAGGAGGAGGAAGGTGGAGAGAAAAGGGGGGTTTGTCATCGGTCTTGCTGTTGTACATCTTCTTATTCTTCTTATTCTTCTTCTTTCTCTCTTCTTTGGTCTCTATCTCTTCGCAACTTCTTTCATTTCTTTCGCAATTGGGTGGCATTGTCTTCCATTGTGAATTTGCACTTTGGGAATGACCAGGGTCGTAACATTTGTCTCCTTCACGATGTCGTTTCGGACATGCAGATGTCCGCACAGACTGGTGGTCTATTCAGAACCTGGGCCACGTTGGAGGCCTCCTTCAGGCAGGTTTGAGACTGACCTTTTGGCCAAAGGAAAGTATAGTCCCTTAATCTCTATCTTCGTCTTGCTCATCATCCCTCACCTCATCCGTGGTATCTCCCGATGTGTGTGTCCAAGGAGGGACCTTTCTTCAATGTGTGCGGTCCCTCCCTTTTCTCTCACATGTGTGGTGTTTGATGGGTTGAGTCTTTCGCTGCGCTACATTGTGCTATTTTTGTATGTATATGCCTGTTGATGCTTCGCTGATGCTGCATTGTCCATTCGAGTCCTCAGCATCACTTTGCTGATCCTTGGATCTATATGCATCGCTCGGCTTATATCGAGCATGTATCAGTTGGTGTCCGAGCTGCGCGAGTCTGGCGATTGATTGACTGATAGATACATTGATTGATTGATTAATTGATTAATTGACCAATTGATCGATTGATTGATTAATATTAATTGATCGATTCATTGATTGATTGATTAATATTAATTGATCGATTTATTGATTGATTGATTAATATTAATTGATCGATTTATTGATTGATTGATTAGGAATTATTAACCTAATTAAACTTCTTTAAAGTTCTTTTCCAATTATTCGCAATTTCTGCCTAGTAAAATTTCGAATTTATTTATTTTCCGGAAATGCAAAATTCTCTCTTTTGCTCAATTCATTTTTTTATTACTTTTGAATTACGCATTATTCTGTGTCCAAATTTTTCAATTTTTTTTTCTTTCTGAAATTTGAAAATTCCACTGCAGGTACAAAAAAATCCAAATTTTTACTTGGATCTCATCTTCCCCCAATGAAGTCGGAATCCTCACTCGGAGAAGACTTGACCTGTTCCTAACTAATGACCCGGTACTTCAGCTGGTCCACAAGGTAGATCACACCACTGATCCTCTATCAGACCATAAACCCGTGCAGTTAGAACAGGAGGTAGAGCTCGTCCACAGAAACAATATAAAGTCCGATTCGCTTACCAGGAGCCAGAGGACTGCTGGTTTACCAGAACAGAACTTCTAGAAACAGCTCCCGACATAGTGAGAGTCTACGAGAGAGATAAGAAAGGTAAAGGTCCTGCCTTGGACTGAGTTATTCTCAGAGGACCTCGAATTTAAGCCGGCGGGAGTGAACCGGTATTCACCAGTTTGCAGTAGCCGATGCAGATCCCAGGGCTCGATCCCTAGTCCTCACCTTACATGTGTACAGTATCTGTGTCGACCCCGAGTTTTTAACCCGTGACCTGTGTATTTGTAACTGTTGGTAGACTGTCGTAGGGTCTGTAGGTAGCAGGGGTTCGATCTGTAGGTCTGTCGAGTAGAAGTCTTAGGGAGTTCTAGAAGTCGTAGCTGCTACAGTCCTCAAGGGTCAAGGTCGTAGCTGCTACAGTCTTCGAAAGGCCAGGACCCAGACTTCCGGAAGGTCCTAGTAGTGGCCTTTCGAAGTTGCTCACGTTTTGGCTGAGGCAAGTGGGCAAGTGGGCAAGTGGGCAAGTGGTGAGCCCAACTGCAGTACGTCGGCAGTGCGACTGCATCGAGTTGGCAGTGCAAACCCATGCAGTCAGCAGTACCGGTCCCAGACAGTCCTAGTCCAGTCAAGCAAGTACCGCATGGGATTGTGTGCACCACGGGCAAGGGAAAGGGCCAGACCAACGAGCTACAAAAGTATAAATCAAAGGGCAGCGTCCAGCCATTCATTCATTCCTGCGTGAGCCATGCGGAAGCGCTGCTACAGCGACTTGTGCGAGGTGGTATGCAGTGAGCCAGAGGGAGAAGTGGGCGAGAGAGAAGGAGCTTCGCCATAGCGATAGGGTAGCAGCGGCCATAGCCACCATAGCCATAGATAAAGTTCAGCGTGTGTGTGTGTGTGTGTACAGAGTATCGTGTGTGGGATATCCAGGGTGATCCTGTGTGTGCGAACAGAGAGTTGTACAGGCGCTGTGCCGCCATAGCCATCTGAAGTGAACTTGTATTTGAGTTGTGTTCTGGGTTACCATATTTCCGAGTTTTGAGTGGGCGCTTGTCGCTAGTTTGCTGC